CCTGACCACATATTGATGTCGAAGACCCACCCCCCACAATTCCCCCCGCGACATATGGGGGTGGGGGAATTGGGGGGAGTGAAGTCCAACGCATCTTAAAGTTGTCAAGGTTGAGAAACACTGCTCTAAGCATTTAGCACAGCTAAGGGAAAGGCTGGAAACATCAAAAAAAAAACAAAAAACCCGATAGTGTGGAAACAACTGGGCAAGTAAATAATGCACTTAGCATTCTGTACTAATTATTCCAACATGAGCTAGGCTTTCATGGCCCAAGTGCTCACTTACTGTCCAGGTTTAATAGTTCCAAATCAGGGTTGGTGATGTAGTCAGTCTCCTAATTCATATCAGGATGAAAAGCATGGAATTTGTGGCAGTTATTACTACAGAGCTCTGTTATTAAAAATGGGAAGAAAGGGCCAGGTCGATGAAGGAACTCTGCAGAGATCATTTCTGAAAGTTAAACACTTTCCTCCCAGCACTGCATTATTAAAAGATAAAAGTGGACCATGGATGTTTATAAACAACACAAATGCATTCTGAAAATAGTTTCCTTCTAGTTTGAGGTTCATCATTGAGGAAGGTACTTTTTCAGGATCCCCATTTCATCTCCCCCACCACCACCAACCCCCCATTGGACCATTTTTGGATCACGTGTTGCATACAGATTCTGTTCCTTTGTAGCAGTTGCTGACTTTTCACCGATGCTTGGATTGTAATGTACCCTGCCTTACCTGTAACCTATCAGGAGATGTCTTCAGTACCCTTGGATATGTAGAATTTTAAGCTTTGCGGGAACCCTGCCACATACACCATATCATATTTAAATAATACTGCCTTTAATGTAGAAATCTGGCTCTATTAAAAGCCAGATCTGTGACTTGCAACTATTCCTGTATATCTGCTCTCAATCAAGAGAGAAAAGGAGGGGGTCTCTCCCTGCCTCTCCCTGCCTCCCTCCCTTTGGTAACTTTTTTTTTCTTCTTCTTCTTTTTTTTTTTTTTTCTTTCTTTTCTTTTCTTTTCTTTTCTTTTCTTTTCTTTTTTTTTTTTTTGCTTTGCATATGTTAAACTGATGCAACATGGACCCAGGGCATCACTTCAGAGAGAGTTGTTCCATAAATATATACTTCCCTCTTCTGTACTTATGTGCCAGATGTAGCTGAAGAAAGATGGGGGGAGGGGAACCCTAGAAAAGTCTGCTCTGCATATATAGCATTCATGGAAATATCTGACCGATGAATTTGACTTCCTGCAAAAAGAGAACAGGTATTTGGGATGTGTTTGTCGCTTTTGAGACCTTTGTTTGCTTTGATCACTGAATGTTGATTATACCACAAATAAAGCATGAAGCTTTATTGCTGCTGAAGGTCTTTTCTGCTTATATGAAATTCATAAAATAATAAATGAACCTAAGGCAAATGTACACCTAACCTGGAAACCTCAGGACCAAAAAGAGATGTTGGAAATTCCCCCTCCCCTCCCTAAATGCCACCAAAG